GGATGGTTGTGTGTTTCCTTATTTCACGGTTCCTTGAGATTTCTATTTTATTATTATTTTTTTGCTTCTGATCAGCCACTCCTTGTATTTTTGTCTTTCTGAAAGCTGAGCGTTAAAGCTGTCCTTTGAGCTGATGTTCTGTCTCAAGTCGTGCATTTGTGTCCACATCCTGCCTGGCACACACGAATTTTGACACTCAGACTAGCTTCAGCTAGTGTTAAAGCTCATGACAGTACAAGTAGACTTAACAAAGATGGCTTGTTTGTAAGAGTTACCCGGAAAAAGCCTCTTCTCTCTATAAAGCAGCACAGCTTAGCCCTCTACTGCATGACTGTTTAATTTTTTTCTCCACTAAGCGGCAGCACGCTTCGTGTCACAGCTGGACGTTAAACTCCAAAGAAGAAGAAGAAGAAGAAGGCCGCCTTACAATTGTGTTACGTCATCACCGACCCTCACATCTTTGTCAGTGAACAAAATGGCAACTTACTGTCTCACGGTCGCTCGGCTCCAGGTAAGAGACTAATTGACTAATTTCATCGCATTTGTCCAGCCGAGGCGGATGCCACCTTCTTTATGAGATTTAATAAATCTGACTGAATGCTGTGCTGACCCAGTTCAAGCACCGAGAGAGGCTGAAGTGGAGATAAGCTGAGACACTAGTTGTCCAGGTCATCGTGTCCCGGCTGCTCTGAACGCATCTAGCTAGTTTGACTCAGGCTTAATAAATCACGACTATAGTGACTCCGTTTACCGGGCGTTACAGTGGCTGTTCGGAGCTGTCTAATGACCGTGGATGGCTCGGCTGTAATTGACAAGTTTTGGTTTTAACAGCAAGGTTAACCGCAAGGTTAGAGCTCCCCGCATACGCACAGAGAAGCAGCCTGCAAGACAGGGAAGTAGATATGAAATAACAGAACATATTCTAGGCCCAAAACAAACATATTTATTCAGCTAGCTTTAAAGCCGAGTGATGTGTGTAATACATGCAGTAACCGCAGGTTTTCTTGTTGGCCTAAGAGACCAACAGGTGTCAAAACTCCCATTATATGAACCCGCATTGAACTGTCACTGACATTAGAAGTCACATGCGGCTTAAAGCGAGAGAGAAGCAATAATAAACACTCAACCTTATAAATCAAGTCTCTCACACACATTTTATGGTTTTATTGAATTACTGCACTCACATTAAAGAGCTTCTAATGTTTTGAGGGGACGTTTGACACTCTTTCCAAAGGTTGACAAAGTATTTTTGGCAAGTCTTCTGGGGAGGGGCGGTGACTCTCACATGTGACGCTTGAGAACTGGGAGCAAAATAGCATTCCTAAGTTAACTTCCCATTCTGGATGGTTTTGAGCTTAGCTGTTACTAATCCCGCTCTTCCAGCTGTGCCTCACAATGATTTTCAAAAGACGACCAAAGTGCTAAAAATATTTGCACTCAAGTAAATCCAGATTTGTGTCGAGGAATGGTCATTCTCTGCTTTGTTGTTCTGCTAACACTGTTTGTTTTTATGTCTCCAGCTGGCCCTGGGCCATGGTGCACGGCGCCTGCACATCTCCACAGCGTACAGAGCGAAGGCCAAAGTGTCCATGAGCCGCTTTGAGCCCACTTCCTTCATCAGCTACGAGAAGCTCCAGTCCAACATTGACATTGTGCGAAAAAGGTCAGCACTACCCTGATCTTGCTCTATATTTGCTCTGGCACACATCAATGTTTCCTGCAACACTCGGCTTATCTGTTTGAATGCTTGGACTGTAGTGTTTGTTTTCCCTTTAGCAGTTTCTCGTCATAGTTGTAGTGCCATTTGTTATCATCAACTACAAAATCCTCCCTCCAGGTCCCTTTTTTTAATGTGTTATCTGTGATTTGGGAGATTGTAGTTCTGTCACGCATCTACTCATTACATTTTCCTCACTGAATCTTCTTCTGTTGGATCTTACAATCTCCCAAATATTTTTATTTATTTATTTTTTCCTCCAGACTCAACCGTCCCCTCACCCTGTCAGAGAAGATTGTGTACGGTCACCTCGATGACCCCCACAACCAGGAGATCGATCGCGGCCGCACCTACCTGCGCCTGCGTCCTGACCGCGTGGCCATGCAGGATGCTACTGCTCAGATGGCGATGCTCCAGTTCATCAGCAGCGGGCTGCCAAAAGTGGCTGTGCCTTCCACCATCCACTGCGATCACTTGATTGAGGCTCAGGTTGGAGGACTTGAGGATTTAGCCAGAGCAAAGGTAAGCCATGTCCATTTCCACACTGTGGCGACTTCTTCTCATTAAAATATAACCTGAAACTGAGCTGTAGACACGACTCTCTTCATAGGACGTGAATCACGAGGTTTACAACTTCCTGTCCAGTGCTGGGGCAAAATATGGCGTTGGCTTCTGGAAACCTGGCTCTGGAATTATCCATCAGGTATTTTTTACTAAACGTGCAAACAGAGCTTCAGTCAGACTATGACAGCTGTGATTATTGGGCTATAACAATGCTTTTTGTGTATTAACAGATCATCCTAGAGAACTATGCCTATCCAGGAGTAATGCTTATTGGCACAGATTCCCACACGCCAAACGGTGGTGGGCTTGGTAGCATCTGCATTGGAGTGGGTGGAGCTGACGCCGTAGATGTCATGGCGGGAATCCCCTGGGAGCTCAAGTGTCCCAACGTTAGCGGATTGCAAAGTTCATCTTGCTCTTTCTTTTTCCTCTTTTTTTGTCATTTCATTAACGTTCTGTCTTCCTCTAAGGTGATTGGCGTGAAGCTGACAGGCACCCTGTCCGGCTGGACGTCTCCTAAGGATGTCATCTTGAAGGTGGCCGGCATCCTGACTGTAAAGGGAGGCACTGGAGCAATCATAGAGTACCATGGACCAGGAGTCGACTCCATTTCCTGCACGGGTTAGTAATCAAAAGCTTATGAGCTTGAAAGTGTTCATACAGTACAACTTCCTGTACCGAACACCAAGAAACAGCAGGATCGGAATGACTTGCTTAAC